CTCTCGGAGCTATCCTCAATGGCAGGCAGACCCTTATCAAACCACAGCATCTCTCCCAACTGATAGAGATAATTCAGTGGCAGCTATGCATGGTCCCACTACGTCACACGCTCCTTCAGATTCAAGTTTGATGTCCCAGTATGTGTCCAGTTCTCTGATGCTTGACAATGGAGGGCAAATACATAATGGAGGGCATCAGTATGGACTAATGAATCCAGAAGGCAGTGGAGACAGCGTAGATGTGAGTAAAAGCAGAGCCAGTATGACAAGCCAGTTGGATAATGGAAACAGTATCTCAACAATTGACAGCCTCCCTGAAGGAAGTTACCACACTCCATATGCTCAGAGTGAAAACTCTTGTCATACTCAGTGCTCATCTGTCGATATTCCCATGAAATGTCTGAGCCCAGAGGCCCATGTTGCATTAAAAGCTACAAATGAAATCATTAAAAGAGAGAATATGTCCACCCCTGGTTTTGAACCAATGGACAACTCTGTGGATGGCATGCTCAGTCCACACAGCGTGACTCACACGGACTTCCCTTACGATGAGGACTGTCCTAATGTTGACTGCGAGGCTAGTCCCTCAGATGAAAAGGCCAGTGACCCTGACGTGCAAAAAGGAAAGCGCAGCAGGTTGAGTAAGCGAACCAAGTGGCCAGCTATCATTAAGGATGGCAAGGTCATCTGCAGGAGATGCTTCAGAGAGTTCACAAGCACCAAGTCTCTCGGGGGTCACTTGTCTAAACGCTCACAGTGCAGGCCTGTAGATGAAATCGACCTCACGGCTGATCTGCCAACATCTTTTCTTGATTTTCTCAATGACCCCCATGTCCCTGACACTAACGGAGGAATATACAACACGTCAAATGGTGATTTCTCACAGGAATCTTCTAGCTTGACCACTTTGACCTCACCCATGGTGTTGAAGCAAGAGCCCCAATATACAAATATAATGGACTATTCAAACTCCTTGTCTGTTTCTCCTGAAAACCAGCAAGAGAAGGCAGTGGAGTTGGCTAATCCAGCCCTCGCTGTACCTTATCAAGAGGATCACTTGATGGAAATTTCACATGCCTTTCAAAGGCTGGATTTGATTGAGGCTGCACAAGAGAAGATGCGGAGAGAGTCTTTAGAGCAAAATATCAGTCGCTGTGATACAGCCCCTGACACTGAAAAAAGTAAAATACTGAGTAAAAGTGATGACAGGCCCATTGAAAAGGTACCCAAACCTTTTAAATGTGACCAGGATGACTGTGAGTACTCATTCATGACAAAGGAGGCATTGTTCAAACACTTGACTAAAATGCATGATTACTCTAATGAAATGATAGAAGAACTAAAAAGAACCCCATCCAAACTGTCTCCATATCCTTGTCAGATTTGCCCCAAAACATTTACGAGAACAACAGGCCTGCGAATTCACTATGAAAAAGTCCATCGATTGTCAAAGGCAGAAATGCAGAAGCTAAGGATCAGTGCTCGAAACAGGCGTGCATTTAGACTTAACAAGAGTGACGTGTTTATTAGCCGTGCCACCACTGAAGCCAATAGCAGTCACACAACGCAGTCTGCAGTGGTATTACCTGCTATAAAACAAGAACCGCTTGACATTGCAATTGCACCTCAAACAGAGAATGAAAACAATCCACAAGTTCCTCAAATCACCTCACCAGGAGATGCGGTTACACAGGGCTTTACGCCAGAGGTATCAACTGTTACACAACTACCATCACCTCACAGCTATTTGACTGATAGGTCGTTTGTTGAGGTGGCACCAGCAGCTCATGAAAAATCCCCAGAGCAACCTCAAGCGGCTGTTGTAGACATGAGTCCAGATGTGAAACGGAAATCTAGTTGCCAAGAGAAACTCAGTCCCGTTGGCAAAGCAAAGGAGCAGCAAGGACGATCAGATGTGTCATTAAGCAGTAAAGTAAAAGAGCCAAAGTCCAGCCCTTCTACTGCATCTGCTTCATCCTCCCCAGAGAAACCCAGCAGCTCCAAAAACACACCAACGAAGGATGAATCCCAAAGGAAAGAGAAACCTCAGAGAAGGTTGAGCCTCAAAATGTGTGAGGCAGAGAACGCTTACAGTCCATATAGACCATATCGCTGTGTTCATGAAGGATGCACTGCCGCATTCACCATCCAGCAAAATTTGATTCTCCATTACAGGGCCATGCACCAGGCATCTCTGCCCCCCAGCAAACCTGAAGTTGAGACTGAAAAGACTAGTGTTAAAAGTGGACAGGAGAGCAGTCCGTCAGTAGGCAAAGATAATGAAGTCAGGTGTCAGGTGAAAGACTGTTCAAGGGTGTTCATGGGAATCACAAGGTTAGTGCAGCATTATCTCTTACTTCACAAGTTTACCCGTGACAAAGCCACCGCCATGATGGCCAGCATGACAATAGGGACTTTCAGCTGTGACCGGCCGGAGTGCGCTCTCCCCTTCAACTCTGTGGAAAAGTACATTGAGCATATTAAGAATTTCCACAAGGAAATCGCAATCTCTGAAAGCGGCTCAGTTGATCCCACTTTCAAGTGCGAGTATGCCGAATGCGACCGCGTTTACACTACAAAATCAAACCTCCTCCGTCACCTGATAAAAAAGCATGAGTATGTCTATGATCCAAAAACAAGTGATGGAAGAAGGACTAAATCAGTGGGGCTTTTCCCGGGGGTTAGCAATGGGAAAGAGAATATGGAAAACAAATTCAAATTGAAGAAGAAAAACACTAAAAAGAAAGATGGGAAGTCCATTGAACACTGGAGTAGTTTTGGAAAACCGACACTAAAAACCCACGAAGAGGCATCAGCTATGTGCACGAAGAAGTCTGCCCTTCAGTACCCATGCATGATAATAGGATGTGATGCCGTGGAGCGGGCGGAAAGAAGTATATTTAAGCATTACACCACTCATGGCCTCACAGAAAGATACATTGAAGACCAGAGGAGCCAGTTCATTTTCTGCAAAAAGTACTCACGCGCCAGGTTCAAAGAAGCAAACAAATCAGAGGGGGCGTCATGCTCATCTTCTGAGGACACGGAACCAGAAGACGGCGAAAAGCCCACTGACCAGAGAACAGATGATCTGGAGGATAGAATAGGCCAAGAAGACAGCAAGCTGTCCAACGACGATAGTGCAGAATCTCAAGCTTCCACTGGGACAGAAGGAGGAACTAAAAGAGGCCGTCCCAGAAAACCTGCACAACCTACACCAGCTTGTCCAGAAAGGATGCAGACCCTTAGGAATCGTTCGACTGTTAACAGTTCAAGAGAGAACTCAAATCCTGGTACCCCCACAGTCCAAGAACAACGTGACGACGGGGTAACGCCAGGGTCTTTCAAGCCTTTAGGACTTGAGGACTCTTTCCTTAAGTTCTTGGAAACCTCAGAGTCAACGCACTCTTCCAAGCGCAAATTAAATGACAAATCTAGTGCTGAACTGCCGTCCAAAAGACAACAAACTCACAAACAGAAATCTGCAGTGAAAAGTAAAATAACTGGCTGTGAAAATCTTGTAGACTTCAGAAATCCCCTAAATCTCAAATCAGTTAGCAATGTAAAGATTGTCATGGATAAAACATTTTCAGATGGTGCTGATCTTTTGCTAAAGCAGCTACAAGACATGAAGCCCATAGTCATAATAAAAAAGTGGCTTTATAGCGGATCATAGCCCAATGTTTTGTTTTCAACTCGATCTCACTCAGGATTTGAGAAGTTATGCTGCAGAATGGTTTGTTTGTTAAAGCATCAGATTTCCAACTGATAACAGTCATGGTCACAGTAAACGATAAAAATGGCCTATTTTGTACTTAATGAAATAATGTCTTGGATGATTTTAAGTATGTATGTTAGTTATAATAACCAGGTAATCTATAGGGCATAGATTTTAGAAACATGTTTGTATTTATGCTTAGTACTGAAGATGTTTTTTTTTTCTTTTGCTAAATGGAGACTTTTAAAGAAAAACAATGTTTTTATATATCCCTATGGGATTTCAAGTTCTGTTTGTATTTATTTCATCCTTTTTCAACACTAGTAGACCTATCTGTAATATTTACATGTCTTCCACAAAGTGTTCAATAAAATGTTACTGGTTCTTTTTGTAAAGTAGTGTCTGCATATCTTTTTTGTGTTGCTGTGTCTTTTCTGGTATCTTGTTTTAAAGAGTTTAGTTGACAGTAGGGTTAATGCACTGTTCTACGGTTAATGATACAAATGCAAATAGATATAGAGAGAATATTAAATATACCATATAAATAAGAGATGTGGTTTAAAATGAATAATATTACTTGTACTCACTTATATTACTACTATTGGAACTTTATTATTAGTATTAGGGACCATCATCCTTACATGCTTGTCATCTATAAATATGAAAATTTAACATTGCAGTGTAAAAATAAAATAAATACACAGCTGGCCTAAATATCAGCATACAGTTAAATGTGAAGTAAATTGTCCAATAGAAGAATGACCAAGTGCCAGGGACAAGAAGACACATAATTTGTCAAAGAGAAGCCAATTAAGTCTCTATGATTTTTATAAATGATAAAACAAATACATAATACAAACACTAAATTGTATAAAAAGTCCTCTAAACACAAAACAATTTGCTCAAAATTAATCCAAATAGCAGTTAATGTGTTCAATAGTTGGGTTCATTGTACAGTTTTGAATATAATATGAAATATCAATAAAATGTGTCATTTAGTCCTTAGTTCCTCAGTTTACTAGATGATAGAAAATGGGTTAGTAACCACTGCTTTAAGGGGCGGGGAGTGTTCAACACCAGCAGTGTTAAAAAGAAATCCAGCGCAACTAAAACTAGAAGGAGGAATAATGTAATTAAACTTAACTCAGGTCAAAGACTTTAACATTTGCCTTATTTAAAATGTGGTGATGACTGTCAATGCATTGTATTAAAACCGATAGCTTACAAACTTACCAACACTACGACGAACACCCGCGTACGTTTATTAGCTGAACACAACCTCTTCCGCCAACGTCACAGTGGCGGGAAGTAGTCGCTCCTTCGTAAGGCTCAACACAAGCTGCATTTTAAACACATATATTTTACCTTTAAACGGCCACTGACTGAACTATACTAAACACAAAACCTCCGTTACACGTATTTGAGATGACTACTACATCTGTGTCAAAGGTAACGTAACATTACGACGTAATTTATACATTTAAGGTTATGCTTGATCGGCATCATGAAGCTAGATTGCCAATCGTAAAACAACATGGCCACATCAGAAGCTGAGTGTCTTTGTTTATGTTTACAGTTAACTGGCACTGTTTGTAACTTACTGTCGTTGATATTTCAGGGATGCTTTGTTTTCAAGCCCAGTGCTAAGAAGAAGAAGAAGACACTCAGTTTGGGTGAGATAACGTTTGTATGAGAGCATCCTCCCTCAGGTCAGATATAAGTGAGCTGTCAGATGACTTTTTTGCCATTTGTCCACAGAGGATCATTTCACCAATGGCTGTGAGGGTGCAGACAACAGTGAAATACGATTTAAACTTTGTCAAGATCTGTGGCACAAAATTAGAGCAGACACAGAGGTAAGGACATACTGTATATTCACCATGTTGTTATCCTTGGTTTAAAGTGGTGGTGTCGTGATTTGGTTCATTTTTAAAACGCTATAAGCATTAAACTGAACATCTAGCAAGTGTTTTAGAGCTATGAATGGCCCATTAGCTGCGTCTGAACAGCTCATATAATACAAAACCAAAGCAGTGTTTTACTATGTTACCCAATACAACCAGATGTGGTGACAAAAACAGGTGATACCACATCTACTCTACAACCTCAACCATGCATTATTGTACAAAAAACCAGTTTGATTTGCAATTCAGTTTTTTTTTATCATTATTTTATTGCAAAGAGATTGTTAGTCAGAAGACAGTAAACAATATTCTGAAAATATTAGCCTGAAACAGGGTCTTATACACAATTTATTGAATTTGTTACAAAAAAACCCATCTTTTTGCTGCCTGTAAGGTTTTACAGGATGAACTCAACAGGAAAATCTTGGACAGCTTGCTGGACTTCACGAGGAAGTGCTCCTCCACTCGCCAACACAGTGACTGGGCATCACAGATGAGGGCCAGTGAGATTCCCACTGCGGCTCTTGTGCTCGGTATGTTGATAACATTTATTGATGTAGAATATAATCAAAACGAACCATCTCCACTCTCTTTACATTCCTCAATCGTCCTGTGGTATGCCTTTTTTTGTAAAGCCTAATCTGACTTTGTGTCCTACATCTTCAATAGGTGTGAATGTCCCGGACCATGACATGACCTTCCAGAGTCTGTCTGAACTGCTGCAGCAGTCTGTCACTCCTCATGTTGCCTCTGTACAGGCCAAAGAGTGTGGAGGTGAGGGACTCCTTGCATTGCCTTTGATTTTAAAACATGTCCCTTTTGTATCTGTCATATACTCTCACTACAGTTTGTGCTTTTAAGTCTTTATATTTTCTGCTTTATCATTTCAGCGTTGAAGCATTTGATGAAGAGGGTCCTGGAGAGGCTGATGGATACTGTTGTGACTGTGGATGATGAGGAGGAAGAGGAAACTGAGCAGACCAGTACTCAGCTCCACAAGAGTGTGCACTGCTCCCTCAGTACACTCTGTGATTGGTACAATGCAAAAACAATGGTGGGACCATAAAGCGTTGTTTGTCTACATGATTTTACATTTGCGCTTGTATAAAAAGAGTTTGATGACATGAACTCACTTTTTTACCTGAATTTCAGAAATCCAAAACTGGCACTCCTGGAAAAAAGCGTAGTTCTCCCGTCAGAGATGATCCACAGCAGCCTCCTGTTGTAATCATTTTCAAAGATTTGGAGGCTTTCAACCCAAAAGTTCTTCAGGACTTCATACTCATCTGCAGGTAAGAGTTTAAACAATTTAACAGCTTCCTTCAGCCATCTCCTGTTTTAGCCAATTTCCCGTACACCTAAACTAGTGTTATACCAAGTGACCTGCTGAGAAAAAGGTCGTCCACCACCTTGTAATATCGGCTCTAAATGGCTGAACTCTTGACAGAACACACAGTTTCGATTCAGTTCAAATGTTAAAACAGTATCTCTGTGTATATTTCCTCTACACAGCCGATACGTTGAACGTCTTCCACTGATGTTCATCTTTGGGATCGCCACGTCACCCAGCACCATCCAACACATGCTGCCCCACTCTGTGTCCTCCCTCCTGTGTATAGAGCTCTTCCAGTCCCTCTCCTGTACACAGCACTTGGCCACAGTTATAGACAAGGTAGTTTTCACCGTCACAGCTAATTTCTAACTGTATAGTTTCTGTTTTATACTTATATTCTATTCTTATTTTATACACCTCTAATAATTTAAGTTTCTCTATTTATCTCTAAGTATTGTTTCCTTGTGCTGCTGTAACACCTGAATTTCCCCTCTGGGGCATCAATAAAGGATTATCTTATCTTATATTATCTTAACAATTTAAATATATAACAGTTTAAGTGTTTAACTTGCACAAAATCTACATCTGTGCTGCTGTTCAGCATTATTTTATACATTACATATATATATATATATATATATATATACATATATATATATATATATATATATATATATATAAAAATAATAATATATTTTATTACATGATTCAAAAGAGTGTGTTAAACAATTCAGTGCAGCCTTTATAGAATGCGTTAAAATGAATTCTATTCATTGTATTTTTTTGTGTTTGTTTCCAGTTGATCCTGACACCTCAGTTCCCTTTTAAGCTCAACGGTAAAGTGATGCAAGTGCTGATGAGCATCTTCCTCTACCACGATTTCTCGGTGAGAAACTTCATCAAGGGCGTTCAGGTACAGAGTAGCTTCAAAATACTTTTATCCATTATGTATCTCTCTGTCTATAGATGTCATTCAGATATGTGGTAAACACACTCTCGGCTTTGTCTTGGTGCAGCTGGCCTTGCTGGAGCACTTTCACTCTCAGCCTCTCAGTGTACTGTGCTGTAAGAAAAAGGAGGCTCTGCTTAATGTGATGCAGCTCAGTCACCATGACTTGGAGAGCATAAGGCATCTGCTGTCCTTCAGGAGGTACAAACGCACACAATGTGCTTTTCACACATGCAATAACTCACTCTCCACTTCTAAGTAAAGTTAATCTGTTGGCAGACAAAAATGGCTGCAATTAGTGACTTAAATCAGGCACTTTCAATCAAGTCTAACCTGTGTGTTTTTCCCAGGTATGTAGAGAAGCAGGAACCTCAGGAACAACTGAATCTGTTTAGAGATGACACTCATTTAAAGGTACGTTCTCTACACCCGAGGCAGCGGCCAATAATGATTGCACACAGGTGGACAGAATGTATGTTTCTTTTTTCTTCCTGTTTTTAGGAGGTGTGTCAGAAGCTGATAAAAGACCTTCGCAAATACCACAAGAACTATTATCCCGTCCTGAGGTGTCTCCACACTCTGACCTCATCCTTACCTCGGTACCCACTCGGAAAACAGGCAAGAAATGACCACTTTAGAACTGTACAAAGCACAAATTTAAAAACACATGTTGAGTGTCAGATTTGTTTTTTACTTGGCTTGATGTAACACTGTATTATCTGTGTGATAAGGTCAGAGAGCTCCATTTAATTTGTCTGGAGAAGAATGTATGGGAGAATGAGGATTACCAGACAGCCATGAAGCTTCTAAAGTAAGTCTGGACAATAAAATCTTGATTCTAGCCCACTGTTTGAACATAATCCTAAAATCTAATTTGTAGTAATATGCAGTAAGTCTTACAAGTATGTACTTTATTTACACATTTTACCACCAGATGGCAACATATTCAGGGATATTTGGAGCATAATGCTTCTTCTGGTGGCTCAATAGTCATGAACATACAGTAAAATAGCATTGCTCCTTTGTTTGGTTTTTATTGTGGAGCTCCCCTGAACAAACCAGACTTTAGTCCAACAGAAACACAGTCTGAAGTTAGTCACTTGGGTTGCCCTGTACCATTCAGCTGTAAACCTCAACCTTGGTTTCCCTTCAGGATGCTGGCTAAAGACGAGCTGATTGCTTCGCTACAGAGATGTGTGGAGATTCTGCAGCCTGTCAAGTCAAAGAAGATGAAGAAGGCTCTTGTCGAGCTGGAAGAGCTGCTCGCCAAGTTCAAGCAGTTGGATAGTAAGTAGTGAAAATAAAAAGTAACGTCATGTGGGTATTACAGATTCTTACTTTGCCGTTTGACCTGGGGATTGTCTCTTTTCTCAAATAACTCTTACTGTTGGTGGAATAGGGAATGGAAATCTACCGCATACACAGCACTCCTTGAATTCTTGTCTCTTGTCTTGTTCTTCACAGCAGTAGCTGCTGAAACTCTCCCCTGTGTGGAAGATTGTATCACCTCTCCAGTGAAAAATCTTCAAAAGAAAACCGATCTCTTCCAGCTGCAGAAGGTTTTTATGGATTTATGAAGAGTGTTATCTCTGCAGCGTTTCTGTGAAGAGATTCTCCGCCCTGCCGAGGTGTTGTAATACTTTGAGGTGTTGTAATACTTTGATTCATAAATTGTCTGCTTATTTCCATTTACTCTAGACGCTGCTGGAGATGAACGAGTCTCGGAGAGCCAAGAAACTGAGCCCTTTTGAGGTTCTGCGAAATGAAGCTCTCGAGTTTATCGACGGCTTAGTGAAGTAAGACACGTTACCTCTTTGCTCTACTGAAAATTGTGCTGCTACGATTTTTAAGTAAATTCTTCTTGGGCTAACATCACTCTCGCACCTAGGAGTCACCTGTCTCCCCCTGAGTCTCAGACACTGAATGAGGTTTGTTACTACAGTTCTTCTGCCACTGTGAGACGCCACCTCAATGCAACACCTCGTACCTCCATACAGGCTGCGCTCAGCAGTCCCTACTATTATCTTCAGGTACATCGGCCGAATATTATTATTATTATTATTATTATTATTATTAAGTGTGTAACTATCTTCACACCAGGAGAGATGGAAAGCAATGAAAGCGTGTAAGTATAGTGATATTTAAAGAGTGTGATCAGCTTAAATCTTTGGAAAAATCTCTTGACTTGTAGAATGAGAGCCTAAAGACTGAGGATGGGACCGTCTCTAATGCTGCTCCGGATATCTGCATTGCATACAAACTCCATCTGGAGTGCGGCAGGCTGATTAACCTCTACGACTGGCTAGAAGTGAGTATATATAGTGAACAGTTGGGCTAATCATGTACACCACTTTTCAACTTTGCCCTACAAACTGTGATGGTTGAGAAGTTTGTTTTTCATTCTATAGAGGAGGCTTTATTGATCCTAAAGGATCAATATGTCACATTATTGATCTAAAAATCAAACATTGGCTTGTTTTTTGTTTTCAGGCCTACGCTACTGTGGTTTCTGCTGCTGAGGGTAACAATCCAGATTCTGACAATGTCAGGAAAGTGGAGGAAGTCAAACAGTATCCTTCTGTAACTTTATCCACTAACATGTTTTTCCTATCGCGCTGTTCCACCATTTTAATACTTGGAAACGGACGAGATAAAAGTTTTATGGCAGATGAGGTGGGTGGAGTGGTGATTTTATAAAAAAGATGTTACTTTTGGCCACAGCATAATCCACAAGAAAGACATTTTGTTCCTTAGCGTGTTCTCTAGTGCCCGTTTCATCCAAGCCGTGTCCGAGCTCGAATTTCTGGGCTTCATCAAGTCCACCAAGCAGAAGACCGACCACGTGGCTCGACTCACCTGGGGAGGCTGCTGACCGAGCCAAAAGAAACCAAACGTACTTCTTTACTTACATCTGTGGCTGCCGCCTCCCTTCATTTAAACTCTTATCAAATTTAACTTGGATTTATATTTTGTGCTGTATTCTTTTTCCCCCACGAATAAAATATGTGAGTAGTGTCTGATAATCATGGACATGTTTATTTTTTTATTCATAGTTGTGTATTAAGGAAAAACATACACATACTGTACCCCTATCATGAGAGAGTACAATCAGATGCTGGATGTTCCAACAAACATTTGTAGTTGTATCTGCAGCGATAAGAATCTCTGGTTGAGCCAATATGTTGCTATACTGAAGGCACAGCTCAAATACAGATGCATAGTATACAGTTAATTGAAAGAAAAACCAATAAAGCCAGGAATTTTTTTTTTTCATAAAATACAATGAATAAAGAAAAAAGAAACAAGGGTGCACAAGCTTTGCAGGAGTCATAGTTGACATCAGGTTTTTGGGGCAATCATTCACCAAAGTACCATCTTTAGGGAAAAGCCTGCGACCTCGACAATTCTTCATGAGAGGATCAGGATTTCTGTGTAACTGACTTCACTTGAGGAAAGAGGTTTTTTTTTTTTTTTAAATAGTCAAGGATATCAGTTCATTATAACAGTACTATAGAAATGTCTTAACATGCATCAGAACAGTTCTCAACTCTTAAAAGATTTTTTATTGTTTTGTCCAATAAGTACATTGGTTTCAAAGTTATACCAGTAAAAAAAAAAAGTCAAAAATAAATAAAACACTGGTAGGGAGAAAAAAAAAAAAAAAAGGTCAAATTAGCCCACTTTATGCTGAATTTAAAAAGCAATGAACAGAGGACAAACTGCAAACATATTCTCTCTGTTCAGCTGTGTTTCTTCCCCTTTCTCTCAGATTGACCAGCAAACCTTAAGTAAAACTGCACTGCTTTATCATATTTACATGTAACAAACAAGAAAACAAGTGACAAAGCCTGGAATGCTGGGAATCATTACAAAAGTGAGATAACTGTAGATACACGTACAGCAGGAGGAACATAGGCCACTGGTAGAGATAGGGTCCATTAATTTACATTAGGAAGCACCTTGTTGCTTACAACAGAGTGGTAACAACTGACAACAGCTCCATATAAACCTTTGCCCAAAGACAGAAATATGGCACAGTAAGAAAAGTTTCATTTAAACTAGCTAAACTGAATCTCTTACAATGATGAGCATTTTTTTTTTCCTTTCTTGAGATATCGCATGATAGCTTGCAGCAAGAGAAGGCCGTCTTGCAAAAGATTTCTGTGCCACACTCAGGAAACATCTGGAGAAGAGGGAGATGAAATAAAATACAGAAACCAGGCTTGTTACTTCAAACTTCAAAGGCGGAGCTCAAACTAAGATCCAAGACTTACAGTATGCCAGTGAAACAGGAATGTGGAAATAATTTTAGATGAAATGAAAGAACTCACAGCTTGCAGGTTGCTCCCCGAATCGTCGCATTAGCTGATCATGTGTGAACTTCACAAAGGTGTCATATTGTTCTGAAAGAGAGTACACGGCAGGAAATCAGAATGACAAGTAACACATGCAAGTAAAAGGACAATGTGAATTACCCTTTGATCTTGTCATTTCGCCAGTGACTTATCTTTTAACTATGGTACAGATTACACACACACACACACACACTTATTACAAATTTTACTAATATAACTTACTCTTGTCAGGAATCAATCTAGTCCCACATTCAAATACAGCATTTTGAAGTAGAAACCAGCACCTTTCTAGCACTGCTTAGTACAACAAGCTCTGAATCACACAGAATCACACTGATGCATATTAGTGCTGAAAAAACTGGTCGATCAATTTGGTTGATCGACAGAAATCTTATGGCGAGTCTGATAATAATTCAGTTTATTTACCAAGAAAAGGACATGCCATTGTAATTTAGAGGGTTTGTTTGCTTCCAGTTAAATGATGAATTTAGTATATTCGTAAATGTTTGCCAATCAAAATAAAACCCGACTATTTTAGTGCAGAGAAGATAAGTCACTAAACAGAAAATTGCAACAATCACCAATTGCTGGTTCTAGCGTTACAAATATGAAGATTTGCTGGTTTTGCTCTGTGTTATGTCAATGTAACTTGAATATCTTTAGGTCTTGGACTGTCGGCTCGTGTTGCTCTGCGTCTCCACAAGGCATACTTGCTGAATGTGCACAAACCTGCCAATTTCGAAGTCATGGTCTCCTCATATTCCTCCCGCACCTTCTCTTCCCTTTCTTTCAGCAGGCGTTCACAGATCATTCCAACTTGTCTGAGGGTGAATAATGGCTGTTCTTTTCTAGTAGGAGAAATGCCTCCAGAGGACGTTCCTGTACAAATCAAACAAGGAGCCTAAGAACTGTGGCATGTGTGGTATTTCTGATTCACAGGTACATGTCACAGTAATTTTGGAGAGCCCCCCCTGCAGGTAGCGTGTTGCTCAACCAACCTGGCATGCTGGAAACATTCATAGTAGACGACTGGGATGGGGACTCTGGAGAATAGCAGCACTCTGACTGTTGGTAGCCTCCATCTAGATGCTTCCTCTTTTGTATGCGTTTGTACTCCTGCTTGATGCTGTTGAGGATTTGTTCTAGAGGAACAAAAGAAAGCACACACACACACACACACACACACAAAAAAGGGCAGAAAAGAGGTCTATTAGTGAAGACAACACAGCGGTCATGTCAGGAAGTCCTTAACTAAACTTTAGCACTGAGAAGCGTATGTGTTTTCTGGTGTACTATAATGAGGTTCAACGTGTTGCTAATGCCTCTCAAGCCCCCGGCTGATCAGCAAGCAGGCCAACTTGACCAACATTAGTAACATTACCTGCACTAAGTGTGGACGACGACTCCCCAAATGGCGAGGGCTCCATGCTAAGATACTTCCTAGGGGATGAGGATGAGGAAGACGGGGTCACGGGGATGCATCTTCGTCGTTTAGGGGACGTGGGACTCATCAGCGGATCGAAATCCATGGTCCTCTTCAGGGTGGCTCCACACGCCATGACTTCAGTTTGTTAAAGGGAGAGGGGGGGGCAAAATACCGAAACAAGACAATAATGAAGCAATAACATCGGTTTATTTAATTCAACTGCTAACAATGGCTATTCTTCCACACGACTTGCTCATTCCAGAGTGAATTGCTCCGCTAAATGCGCTCTCCTCCGCGGAGGAATAACATGCTGAGCATACTGCGCAGCTGAGGCTTTAAATATTTGCTAGCAAGCTAACGTTAGCTCTGCTTGCTAGCTAATAATCAAAAAGAAAACAAAGCTAACGTTAGCTCCGGCTACCGCTGGCAGAACAGTGCGCTCCGGTGTACCTTTGAATAAAGCTGCTTCCTACCGTTTGGGGGGGAAGTCGGTCCGTCCAACTAAGTTAAACAACTCGTGTTGTTCCAAAAGTTGCTTCCCAAAAGTTGAAGTGACGATCCGCCGGCTGCGGGCCAACTGTCTGCTGTTAGACAGGGGAGCTAGCTAACGCAACTTAGCTGCTTGTTTTTGATATGAGGCTGTCGGCTTCTCTGGCTCCTGACGTCACGTGTGAAATGCTTCCGCAATGCATTCTGGGTTATGTAGTGAAACACAGGAAAGTATAGGAAATGAAAGGTTGATAACGTCTCAGTTATAGTCCACATAAATTGGTAAATAATCTTTTTTTTTTATTGAATTTGGTTACATTATAGCTGCATTATATTAATCAGCAAACTTGAATCAGTCCATGAGAAATAATAGATGATGTCTCTTTTACATCCACAGGAGGGCAGTGTTACACAAAAAGAAACAGACTGTTGACCTCGGTTTATAAAGCTGTGGCTCCCAAAAAGTCCAGGAGCCACAAGATGATTAAAACAGTAACAAATACATGACTATATTCATTTATTTTATATCTAAATCTAGAAGTATGTTTATTTCTTAATAGCTTTTGCCTTTTTGTTTTGAAAAATATTGTCATCTCTTAAGGTCTTAAAAGTCCTCAACTTATCTGTGATGAGGGGTCACAAGAAGACATAGCTTAGGGGCTAGCAAGCCAAAAAAAAAAGTTAGTCCAATGGCTATAAACACAGACAGTCTCACACACTCTCACACACTTTTTAAACTTGAAAAAAAAAAGTCTAGTAAATTAACCACAATGTGACGGATTGCTGAGATTTCATTGTTTTATTGAAAAAAAGAAACCAGATATGTTGACAAAATTATGATAAAAATAGACACATTTTATATATTTATTGAACTCATGTCCTTGCTTATACACACTGTTATGGGACACAATGGCACAATGAATGCAAAGTGTAGCTTCTCACAGAATGCTGTAACTGTTTCATAAGCACATGTGTAATAAGCAGCAACGTAACATTCCCAAATACGTACAGACTAAAGTTTTGATTTGACCAAAAAGCCATTCATATTTCAAAGTAAGACTCACCATTTTGCTTTGCAAAGTACATGTTTAGAAAATATCTACAATAAATACAGTAAAATAACATTTCAACAATTCCAAATATCACAATATCATGGTCTTACAAAATCATTGATGGTTGATTTCAAATCACTAATGGGTTGCTAGTTTTACTTAAAAGCAGTGTTCTGTCACTCAAAACTGACATTTTGCATGAAGGTAGACACAGTTTCACCTTGAATTACTGCCACAATATTGCTATGATATCATGTGGGAGGGGAAAAAAGAAAGAACAAAAAGGACGGCCATATTTTTCTACCTTAAGGCTGAAATCTGTAACTTTATGCACATTCAAACTACAGCAAAGTTGACAGTGCACAGTGTTGTGTTTGTAATGGCTGTTGCAGGAAAAAAATGCCCTTGAGCCAACGAGTTCTTATGAATGTGACTATTATTTACTGAAACCATTTGTCAATAACATAAAAAAGAGAGCTTGTTCTTCCAAAAAAAATATCATCACACGCCACTATATTATTACATGGAATAATAATACAGATTTCAGCTTTAAAGCAACAGAAACATGTTTTTCAGTTCTGTATGTAGGTCATTTTTTGGCACATTTCACAGTAACAGAGCAGTGTACTAGTAGGGTCGGGGCTATTCTACATTATCTTTACTTCACAGTTGCACCAGATCAGGGCAGCTGGTCTCTTAGACCGGCTCTGCAGTGGAAGTCTCCGTCACCCCAGAAACGGTAACCTGGGCTACTTTTACACGAGTTTTTCCGCAGGCAGCTCCATCTTTCCCCGCCACGCTCGCTGTGCCTCTCACACTCCTGCTGTTCCAGTCGCTCTCAGCGCTGTTGTCCAGAGGCTGCGTCGACCCACGGCACATATGGCAGATGTTGAGGAAGGCCCTGCGCAGGTCCTTGCTCCTCATGGCGTAGATCACAGGGTTCACGGTGGAGTTGAGCAGGCATAGCATGCTGCAAAAGGCAAACACAGTCTTGATGAAGTCGTTCACCTTCCCAAAGAGGTCGTAAACCATGATAGCTAGAAGTGGGCCCCAGCAGATTATGAGGGCCACCAGGATCAGAACCAGGGTTTTAGCCAGACGGAGGTCCATCCGGGCCTGTTCGGGCCTCACCGTCTGCACTTTGGTCCCCTCTGCAGTGTAGACAATCACACTCCTCTGGGAGGTGCGGCTCAGCATGCGGACAGCATGGTGGTGGGACTTCCAGAGGATGAACATGTAGGCGTAGATGATGAACAGGACCAAGATAATCGTCATTCCAATCCAGAACATCAGGTACTTCTCGTCGATTAGTGGGAAAATGTCAGAGCAGACAGAGTTGAGACGCTTGCAGTTCCACCCCAGCAGCGGCAGCAGCGAGAAGACAATGGAGATGGTCCACATCACACTGAAGGCAATGACTGCTTTAGTCTTTGTGACTATGCGTTTGTACGCCATAGGCCTATGGATGGAGATGTAGCGGTCGATCGCAGTGAGGAACAAACTGCCAACAGAGGCAGTGAAGGATGCGATGACCCCGGCCAGCTTGAAAAGGAAAATATTGGGGCTGTCCTTCCTGTGGAGGACGTGAAAGTCCAGAAAGCTGTAGACAAAAATTATGCTTCCAATCAGATCAGCCACAGCCAGGCTGCCTATGAAGTGATAGGAAGGCCGAGATCGAAGCGTCTGGGAGTGTAAGATCACACACAGCACCATGAGGTTCTCCAGCACCGTAAACGTACCTAGGGTGAGTGCCAAGATGGCGACTGCGAGCTGCTGACCAGGAGTTAGGATCATAAAACACTCCATGTTGTCCACAAAGTCCTCCCCGCACTGAACCACCCCGCCACTCTCCACAGCGGTGCCATTACCCAGCAGAAAGTCTGTCACGTTGGTGGGGAAAATTGGAGCGAGGCCGCTGTAGAGGACCTCCTTATTTCCAGGGGCGAGTCCAGAGTTACTATCCGAGGCAGAGTGAGGTTTCCCAAAGTGGAATCTGTTCTTGATTAGAGTCGAGTCGATGGAGGAGTCGTCGTAGCTGGCGTCGTTTGAACCGAGATACTGGACACCTGTCATTAGTGTGCTCATTGTGGTGCCTGCTATCCTGTGCAAAGCCAACTTCATGGCTGGTTTGTGGCAGTAGAGATGCTCAGTGGAGAGATGTGTGGTGTAACAGCATTAGACCCATGTGAAAGGACATCTATGAAAGAAAAAAAAAAATTTCCATAAAGAAAATGACTTAATCTTGTTACATACAAATATGTGAATGCATGAAGCAGCATTAATGTTTATTAATGATTCATATGGTGGAAGAGGAATTTGTTGCTGGGAGATATTGGGGGAATCTGTGTATCAGCCAGCTGACTCCAGAGCAGATGCATCCCAGACAATAGTGGGAAACTGAACAGTTGATGACAAACCTGTGCAGCCTCGGGGGAAATCATTGCATTAAGTATGTAGGACAGGCAGGCTTTCTTATTAATTAAAGGAGGTCATTAAGCATTAAGCTGTTTTCTTTTCTCAATAATCACTGGATTAATTAGGCATCAAGGGAGAAACATGATAAAGGGTGTACATATCTGTCCAATGATCCATGTTTAATTTCTGATGCTAGTAATGATGATATTAATAATTAACAGTCAAGTTTACATGAAGATTTTGTAATAAGACATTTAAAGAGGACACACAGTGCTGGCTAACAATTAAACATGACATGACCCGTTGCGAATGAGATACGGTTTAGTTTGAGAGCAAAAGAAAATGTCTAAAACCAGTTTGGATCAAAGATTTGCTACAGAATTGGGCGCTAATATTCACATTAAAGAAAACAAAATAACACAAATGATCATAGTGATAACCGATTAGAACAATAATAAAAGCAGAAAAAAAAAAAAAAAATCAAATACCTTGATTTTCTCAGCCTCAGCAACATCTTGCCCCGATCCATGCCGGGGAAAAAAAACAAAAAACAATTAAACTGGGAGTAAACCAGTCTGCTGTGGTTGTCTCCACTCTCTCCACCAACAGTTACAGCAACTCCAAGAGAAGATCTGGAAGCCGGTGTGAAATTATATTTGTTGTTGTTTTGATGATTTGCCGGGGGAATAACGGTGAGTTGACTCCCCAGACTCTGTCAGTGTCAAATACAGTAACGGCAGACTTGCAGCCGGTGCGCACTGTGTGTGTTTGAGGGAGCGGTGCGGTTATGAGGCTGCTTTTTGTGCGCCTGCTGGTCACGTGGTCTGAGGTGTTTGAGCGCAGTAGGAAGTGCATCCCTGAGCATCATCCACACCTATTTATACAGGAGCAAAACTGCTGCTGCAGGCAACACATAAAGACCAGCCTCAAGCCCATGTGTGTTCAATGGAGATTGCATTTACTTCCTCATTGTTCAACTCAATATCAAGTTTTTTTTTTTGCGTTCTGATATGATTTAAAACCAATGTGTAGAAAAATACAATGGTAACACTTACATTTGCCACAAACTGGGCATTTATCATAAATCATTGGTTGTTTTTTTTCCCCACCAAATATGGAAATAACGTTCAAGGTTCTGCTTTATTGTCATTACAATAAAGGATTACATAATGAAATGCAGCTGTAGCACCTTTCCTGCAACATACACAGAAAATATACAAACAGATACTCCAATATTCAAATTAAGATTTAAAAAAAGGCATTAAAAGAGAACCAAACATATACATGGCAATATACATATATAACATATATTATCATTTATTGTTTTTAAGTGCCTTTTTAAAACTATTATTTTGATATAAGTTTACTCTTTTTTAAATGTAGCTCCAAAGCAAGGAATAATAAGAAGAACTAAATTATATTTACAAGGAGGACACACAGGCACATTTATGTTTTGGGTCAATTAGACACCAAAGAAGTTACATTTTTTAAATTAATAAGGATAAATATTATCTTGCAAGAGGTAGTGCTGCATAAAAAGTTCTGTCAACACCAATCATTTCAGACTATTTCTATCACAGAAAACCAACAATCCCCTTTTGGACAGTGGTGGAAAACAACTAAGTACATTTACTCAACTACTGTACAATTTTGTGGTACTTGTGGACATATTAATGTGTTAACAATCCAGTAATATGGAATATCACTCTGAAAGAACCATTTTGCATAATGAGATACCTAAAGTGAATACCAAATGCATTTGCTGATATTTATATGTATATACTTCAGTAAAATATTGCATGCAGGACTTTTACTTGTTACACAATATTTTACATTGTAGTATCGCTACAACTTACTGCTTTTGGAACATGACTGTTACAGTAATCACCTGCTGACAGTAACAATAAAATAAAATAAAAGACACCATATAATAACATTTTTGTGCAATTTTAAAGTGATCGTGTTACTAAAAGTCCCTTCTGAACATCCTCCACTATTTATCTATTTATTTACTGCAGTTAGGGGTCACATGCACACACTATTTAGAGTCCTTTTCCTGTCCTGCGCAGCTGCGCAATTATTTCCACTATGCACTCCCAGCAGAGCTATCTCCCAAATTACATGTATCTTGTTGTGGAAAATACATGACATTTGGCGATGCAACATCATGAGAAAACAATGAAAGGCATTGCGCATGATGCCAGTGCCTCCAGTTCTGGCAGAACAGAAGAGGCTGAGGAGTCATCCAACTAATTACTGAACACTTGTTATGCCGTGCTTGAAGCAGATTCAAGCAGCCATTGATCACTTGTGGTTGAACAGTAAATCCAATATGTATGTTTTTATGAAGATAATTTACACAGGCAGACAGTGTAAGTGAAACATCTTATTGATGACTGTTGATTGGGAAATTCCTCTATAATTAACATATTTAAAGTGTCTTCTGTTTCATTCCTCTTCTTCAGGATGAAGTTTTACTGTGGGTTTGGCTTGAAAGCAGCATCAGTCATCTCTCAAAGCAGGGGGCAGACTAATCGACAATCCACATCCATCATAATAATTATCATCAATATTTCAGTGTCACTCTCACCAAAGCATCAGTGAAAGAGACAAAGCTGTCTGCGATGACAAAAGGCATCTATACGCCTGTAACAGCGACTTGTCAATTTTTCTAAATCCTCTTCCACCATGTGGGCCGTGCAGTTATGGGAGGCTGCTGCTATTGTTTCACGCCCATCTGCCTTTGGTGGGGAATATTGCTTGTGATTTACAGTGATTGATTCTTTGCAGGATTCCTCGTGCAAAAGCATCATAATGCATCTCATTTAATATTGATCCTTTTCCGTTAACAGTCAGTTGCTATATGAGTGGCTGCCTACATTCATCGCTTTCAGTCCACACAGGCTTCAGATCTTCCTAAATAGACACATTCAAGCAATACATGCAACAACATATGAATTATAGGGCATATTTGTTAGATGACATAAGACCATTCTGAGGGTTATTCTGTGAGAGCAAGAAACATTTTCGGGCTCGAAATGTTGTTGTTACACACAGCACGTTGCAAGACGAGACTCTAAAGCAGGCTGTCTCTGATGTGTTTGTGTCAAGGGGTTGGAAAATGGGAGAGAGTGGGGAGGGAGGGAGGGAAGGAGGGAAGGAAGGGTGAGGAGGAAAAGATGCATAAATAGAGAAGGGGAGGAGGTTGTGGCTGAACACTGACAGCTCTTAACAGTTTCCTAATCTGCCACTTCTATATTCTGTTCCTCCCCAGCTGGAGACACTTGATGTTGTAGCCAAGGTGGCACAGCAGAATGAGGCTGTGTTCAATTCAAATCGGTTCAGCGAGAAGAAAAAGCCCAAATATAATGTTTACAAAATGTATTCAATATCATTTTACGTGTTTCTCCAATCTCAGTAACGCACATCATCACCTATCATTAGCTGTGAGCTGCCTGCATCCTCATTATTCACTTCATCAAACGATTATATGTATCAACCTGGCTTCATTAGGCAAATCAAAGGTGTTTGTTGAGCCATTTCCAGAGAGGTTTAATTGAACAACCAACTCCACACCCAGGAAACATCATCAGAGAAATAAACAGGGAGAAGTAAAGTGTGGAAGTTCCCCATCACGTTTCTCTCCTGCATCAGATTTTCAGGACAGATCTTCCTCGCAGGGAGTAACACCACAGCAGAGAGGATGACAAAGTTGTGACTAAATGCCTTCTGTGACTGAATTTCTTTCTAGATAGAACACTCTCGCTATCAAACCATCAAAACATACAGATATAAAAAGACAGACTGACTCATTTTTTTCAACAGTTGAAATAAATGAAACTATTAATGTATTTTAATGCACTTCTTTTATTTTTCATAAACAATTCAAGCAAATTAAACAGTTTCAATGTCCACTTTGGAAATGGTGGTTTTTCTTGCTGCAGAATAGACAGAATAAAAACGTAATGGTCAGTGGGTACAATCCCCTTCATGCACCATTTAGTCATCTAAAGACCTTTTTTATCTCTGCAGAACACAGTGGTAATCACAAAGACTTAGCCGGTGGTTCAGTGAATGCTCACTTGTGCAAACACTATGCAAATGAATGCTACAGGCACAGATGAATTACTCAGACAGAAGCGTAGAGCTGCAACTTACAGCTTAGTTGAACTGTTTCTCTTATTGTTACTGCTCATGGCTTTCAGGTGATACAGTACCTACAGCAGTAGCCCTGTGGCCTCAGAAGAACCTGCGACCCAGAACAGCGATGATCTGGAATTGCCTTGCAGTGCTATTGGCTGATTCAGAGCCAGATAGTAATTCATTTGCTCTACACCCAGCTGCAGAGCTGCAGAGACTGACGAGAACCCCAAATGGACCTGACTACCATGAGACTAACAGTCACCTGTAATCACATGGCAATTTTCTGTCAGGAAGAAGAGGAGTTGTGAAACTGAATTCATTTTTAGCTGTTCACCTCCTTTTTTACTTTGTGCTAACATTCAGTGTTTGCAGTACATTTACACAAGTATGTAGAAAGTATTGTCATAATATGTCTCCACTTTGGAGACATATTATTAACAACTGTCAGTTGTTTTTAATGGATCAAAATTTGAAAAAAATCCCTTATTGTTGGAGAAGTGTGGAGTCACAGAATTTGAAAAACTCAACACACAATAATAATAACAATCACAACAGATCTACAACAGAAATAAATACAGCATGTGAGCAAATGTATGTTGTGATCTTCAGAAACTGTAGCTTTTAAAGGTATCACAGTTTGAGCTTGATACATAGCTTTCCCATATAAACATTTCATACCCACCACAGCACTTTCCATTCTTATTCCGCTCACTGCAACATGTTTACCCGCCCATTACCGGCAATTGCATCCAGCAAACAATTTCACTCTCATATCCTGGAAGAATTTCTTTCATCATGGACACACTTTGTGTGTCAGCTTTTAACTTTATTACAAGATGAAGAGACTCCACCGCAAATTAGTTGATATCAAAGAACAAACAGTTCAAAATTGGTTTGAGATTAGTTTTCTTGGTCAGTGCAGAGAGTTATAACATTATTAACATATAACATATAACATATATTGCATTTATTTTGTTTCATATCACTGTTTTTAGTGTTGTGAGGGGAATTTAAATGCTGTAGGGTCCATCTGCACTGGTTCAAGCATGCATTTGTTTGCAAAGTGCAGGGGAAAAAACTAATTTGATTCTAGCCATCAGTCTAAATGCATTAATGGTGAGCAATAAAGAGCAGTTTGACGTAGCTTGACTTAGTTGGTCTTTCTTGATGGATGTTGGCAAGTCCATGAATTGCACATGAAGCATTAGTATTGACTGTTGCGGGATGTGTGAACTCATCAGTGTAAAAGAATATAACCAGAACTGACTAATGAGAGAAAAACAGGCTCCATCTGATGCTGATAAAAAGTTTTTCTTTGCTCTTTTTAATTAATAATTTTCCCTTGAACGTTCTATCAATGTCTAACTATTTTCATGAATAAAGATGTTATGCATCAAAGACACATTTATATTTATTGTGCACTTATTTACAAGAATATTTCATCCAAGCACATTCCTCTGGGAAATACAGCAAGCCAAGTTATGAAAATATTACACATACTGTATGCCAAGAACTTGAATAAAAGGGTGAGGGTCAAAGAGGAACATTAGTGGCAGATGACGTTTCAACTTCTATTGTTTTGTTTAAATGACATTTCAACCGCTATGATGTTCTAAATACTAATACATCCAAAGCAGGTCAGGAAATTACCTGGTACACCATCACAGAGCAACCAACGCTGCAGGAAATCCTACAGGTGATTTGTCTTTAAACTGCTG